CTGCTTTCGTTGTTTGTCTACTACATTTTCAATAAGCATAAAGCTTGGTTGGGGTCAGTGTTAATACTGCTATCCTTATCACATCAGGAAATGAATCTACGCTTTTTTTGTGAAAATTAATTTTTGCATGTCTGCCGTAACATATAGCTACAGTTCCTCATATATTAACCTCACATAATATATGGGTTTCCTCACATATTATCTAACGTTAGGTGGTCTGCCCAGTTAAATTAAAGGGAGCCAAGTACTGCTGTGATGCACTTGACTAATTAACTGCACCCCTGACACAGTATGTATGATCAGTCTTCTTAAGATAAAGAATGAAGTTTGCTTGTCGATGTAAACTTGAGTGGAGAGGCCTGTGTAGCCTGAGATGTATGTAGTCAAAGAACAAACCTAATGTTGTAGGCTCAGCAAGTGACCAATTTAGAAACTTGAAGTATGCCATTGTTGCACTACAAGTAACAGCGCAAGTAGGCTACAAATAAATACTGTATATATCTTGCAGTAGGATGTTAATGAACGCTTGGCTTAATAGTCAGAAACTCTTCTAAATTAAACAAAAAAATATACCTATATCTGTAATTGTCTTCCAGAATGACAAAGATGGCAAGTGTTTTCTGCTTGGTCTTGCAGTTACAAGTCATTGCAAAATTAAAACTGTGCCCTGACCTGACACCGCTAGGGTTAAGGTGTGGGCAGGTTTGCACACAATAATGACTGATGGTTAGGGTTAAGGAGAGGTCAAGGTTTAGGTTTAAGTAACTCAATGGTTAATATTAAGGGAACATTGTGGTCTGGGTCAAAATAACTGCTTCCTTAAGGTTAGGGAACCTTCATCATCTTGGTTAAGTTAAGGGAACAATAATGGCCGTAGGAAACAGGAACTGAGTAGCAGTGTGATGTTTTGTCAACCCATCCAATCAACCTGACCTTCTCCTTCTACCTCTGACTTTATGTCCATTTCCTACTTTGCTCTAGAGATGTCAGAGGGTCAGAATTCCTATGGCCACTGCAGGGCTTTGTTACTTTAGTGCAAGAATATTTAGTTATTGGGCGGTTACAGTAGAACCACCTGAGATATTGACCAACCTACAGTTATAACTGAAACAGACGTGGCTTCTGTTTACAAATGCTTCTTGAAAACACAAAGAAAGTCATTTCTTAGTCATCCTGTCACATCCGAGCAAAGCAGGCTACCACACTTCACATCCCCGCCTCCACCATTGGAAACTGGTAGACTTTCATGGACTGACGCACTTTACACACCAATGTTTGTGACTAACCAAAGTTTACAGCTCATAGGAGGAGAGGATTTTAAAAGGAGAAACGGGCAGAAAAAGGGGGAGGGAAGCTAGGTCAATACCACAATGCCACAACTGCTCGTTGTTGAATGACTAAGGCATGAACTTGGACAGGAGCCTGAGCATTCACTTTGCTTAGTGTTCTTCCAAAAAGTAAAAACAGCTCATTGTCAAAACCACAGTGACCCAAAAGGCAAGTAAAGCCGTAGCCCTGCCCATGCGATAGGCATGCCCTGATATACTGTACTGTGCATTTTGTTTTCAACTTCAAATGGGATTGTAATTCAAAGTGACTGTGACTAATGTTTTTTCATGGGATGCAGACTTTGTCTCCAGTGTAAACATATTGGAACATATACACACACATGCACAAGCCACCGCAGCGCCCACATCAACCACACACACACCACCACCAACACCCAAAAATAACTGTCTCTGACCAAACTCACACAGTTTGACATGTTATTTTAAATGTTATCTAGCAGCGCACAGCTCTTTTAAATCAGCTGGCTTTTCAAAAGCTCATAAGCATCTCATTTTTACAATCTGGCAAGCTGAACAGTTGTAAGTTAGGGCTAGGATAGATGTAATACAGACGTAAAACTTACAGGAAGGCGTGGCGTTGGACAAAATGTACAAACATCATTAACTTTGTTTGACAAAACTAGAAAACATTAACCTTGAGATTTCAAAATCGGCTCTTGGCATTTACCCCTCTAAGATATGATATCTGAATCAGCTGTGATGAGTGAATCACCTGTTTCCTCCCTTAAATTACCACACAAGATACCTGATCTGCTATTCCACCACGAGATGCAACTCCTGACTCAATCAATGCGCAGTGCCTGCTTCCTTCAGCACTCAGCATCACAGCAAACCGTCATCAAAAGGGGTAGCGATGAGCCCCATCTGGGAGTTCATGTGTCAGAGAGATAGGAGCTGACCTCCCCATGGACATGCCTGAACATGCAGGCAGCTGCTGTCAGCAAGCCAGAACGTAGGGGAATTAATAGAAACAGCAGCTCTCCAGGGACACTGTTAGCCCACACTGACAGCCAACTCTGATCTGGGGTCATCTTAATGCACTCTGCCTCTTCCCTTCTGCATTAGTCGGTGGGAAATATGAAACCTGGATCACGGCAAACATTATTTAACTTTCCGGGTAGGCTTAACTCTCAATACTGGCCCAGGCCTGTGCAAGCTGTGATATGCACACTTGTGGCAATCAAGAATGTGGGAGTGCCCTGTGTGAGGTTACATTTTCATCTGACACACTGTGTGCTATTAAATCTAAATTGCCCACAGACGCAAGTGAAATTTTGTGGACTAAAGCAAAGGTTTGAGCCTTTATTTGTTACCTACTACAACTTATAAAAATAGTACACACTTAAAAATAGCTGTGAACATACACACTTTTGCCAGTCTATGAAATACACCTGACTAAAACTAATATGACAACCCAATAAATCCTACTTAATTGTTCGATTTTGTTTCAGCTGTTACAGAAAGATGTTGATTCAACTTCACTTTTTTAGAATATATAGATTGTGGGTGTGTTGAATTATTTTGCACTACAGTGAGAGGTTGACTACCCTCATTTAGGGCTGCAAGTAATCATTTATCATATTTGAAATGCTGGAAGCTTTGGAGTATTTGTTAGTTTCACTTGAAAAATTACGATTAATGAACAGTCATCAAAATAATACTGATTATGTTTCTATCAATCAACTAATCAATTTATCACTAATAATTTCAGCTATACCCTCACTGATGTACTATACATGGATTGGACAAAATTTACCAGGGTGTACTTAAAAAACTGAGTGTATGTTATGTCAGAGATGGTGATTCAAGTTTGCGACTTGAGACTTGACTTTAACTCGAGATTTGGGACTCGTGAACAATCTTTATATTATCACCTCCATCAAGGAAGTCACGTGAAGTCATCAACCCATTACATTATGACGCAGATCCGCATAATTTCCAGTGAATTTCCCAGGTGTAAATTGTTTGACATGGGCCTTGGTGGAGCGCTACACTCCACTGAGGGCATTTCGTAGTTTTTTATGTTTTTGGTGCATTAATATTGCGGAAATGTGTGACGAGCTACACGGCATTACACCACTTATTATCATGCGCAACTATACATGAAGGAGTGATGATAATGCAGTACATATATTCTTAGATATGGCAATGCAGTGTTCTAAGAAAAGCATGCAGCAGATTACAGAACGCTCATTACAACCAAAGACTTGAGACTTGACTTGTGTCCACAGACTTGAGACTTGACTTGGACTTGCAAAAAATTCTCATCTCTATGTGATATAGACAGATATATGCTACTACTGCTCGACTAATAAGATTACAATAACACATTTTAGAAAGTGAGATAAATAAAACTCAAGACTTCTGGCTGACACTGCCTGTGTTTACAAACGGCACCTCTCAAGCTTTTACCTGGCACACACAGCCTTTCATCAGGGGAGGAAAGTGACTGCTTATGAAGAAACTGACTCCCTAAATCTGTTGTCAAATACAAGTTTTGATTATTTGATCTAAATAATGTGCAGATGGACAAAGGCCCATATAAACAGGGTTTCTGTTGGCTTCAACAAATTAAATTCAAGGACTTTAATTGCACATAGAATGCAATTAAAAGCCTGTTTCACAAACTAAACTAAACTAAAAGACAAATTGAAGGCAGTTTACAACAATAATTTCTAATGAAATAATTGATTAAATTGGCAGAAAATGCATGGATTAACGAGTTGAAAATGATTAATCAACACTTGCCCATCATGAGCTGATGAGCTTCTGAGCTACTGTAGCTTTAGCAGCAGTGACAGTATTTGCTCCAGGTCTGATGTTGTTGACTGTAACTCAACGTTGAACAGCGTCCTGCAGCATAATCCACTGTCACTGCAATCTTACCTCTAGTTTGTACATATGTAGGGTAACTATCGGCAACCTCGTCTCGAAGACTTTGTAATATCTTCTAATGCATTGTTGTTGGGGAAACTGAATTCTATGCTTCATAAAAAAACTTTTCAAGACCTGCAGAAACCCTCACAGAGGCAATGAAAGGAGATAAAAGAGCCCAGCTCCATAGACTCGCCTACGCACTAACACTACAGAGCTAGAAAGCGTCCCAGATTAAGGCCAAGTTATATAACTTGGACTCCATTTGTGCTTTTGCATTGCATGTGCGCTGCAGTACATGCACAGACTATAGGTCGTTTTCAACAAAAGGACTTCAGTTAAATGTCAATTTGATCAGAGAAAACTGCTAAAACTTGTTTCCTTGACTCACTTCACTTAAAGTAACCTGCACATATGATGGCATGGCAGCTCGCTGACGAGATGTTTGAGCTAGCTTTTCTTCTGGACCACTGTTAGCTCGTTAAGCATTACCTCAGCCACCATGTTACTGTATAATAAACGAAGAGGGAAGAGTTTGAAATACTGACACGAGGAAGGAAGTGGAAATGTCACCTTCTCAGTCAAGAGAGGATGCCAAACATGTGTGAGGTGAGCACGCTACAGTTAGCAAACAGTGGTATAAAATTATTTTTTTTCATAACAAGGGTGTAATTGATTAAATGCTTTACAAAAAACAAGAGGCTGACCTGCCCACCTCTGATGGCTGGGATGCTGATCTCACGGTCAACATCAGCACAGCGCTCAAACTCTCCTTACCTTGGTATAGTGATGCATTTCGTGTTAATATTCTGGGTGGTGATGGCTTTCTCCAGTTCGTCCAGTTGTCCCGTCTTCTTCAGCTTCTTCACGAGACTTTTCACGGCCTTTTCACACCATTTCTCCTCCTGGCCGTTCTGCTCTCCTTTCTTCCAGCCCAAAAGTCTTTTGACAATGGGGGGAGTGAAAGGCAAAATTGACATCTTGAGTTCAGTTAAGTCCTTCCAGTGTCGTGAAGTCCGTCGGTTTGGACAAAACACGGGGACAGTTGCTCTTCAAACGGTCCAAACAGCAGAGACGAACGCGTTATTTAGCTGAAATCAGGTTATTGTTGTTTATTAAACGCCACACGGAAGCATCCCGGAGTTAAACCCTTCAGTTTTAGCGCACTCAGTCCGTCTGCATCGAGCTCAGCGGCGGACTGTGCACCGGTAGTCTGTTGGGTTGTGGATTTAGTGCTACTCCGCCAGGGAATCTAGTCCCGTCTGCACTTCTTCAAGCCGTGGCTCTTTTACATACACCCAACTTGAGTCACACCCAGACCACGTTTTTCACTCGTTCAGGGTTCAAACGCCGAAGTGAAAGTGCTTCGTTTCTGTTTTACCAAGGGTGCTCTAAACCCCGATCAGCAAAGTTTTGTTAAGTTCATCCGCGGTGCAGAGTCCGCCGACTGAAGTCTGCGAGAAGTCTGCATCAAATGCTAATGCAGGGGCTGCTGCTGAGAGTCCCCATTCAGGCTGCACAGCAGACCTGTGAAAGGCCAGTCTGAGCAGCTGGCCAAATGTGCAGCGCTGATGTTGCACAATCCCTGCCTTTTCCCTGCTATTGCTTACTGATAAAACTGCATGTGGCTGTGACTAAATAGGCATACTCACACTCACACACATACACAGATCACTTGACTTATGTAACACTCAGTAAAACAGTTTATTGCATGTGAGTGGACTAAGAAAGTTCAATGAAATTGAGTTCGTGTTCTCATTCATGTATTTATTTATTTATTTATGTACGTATTTATTTATTTAGTGGACCATATAGGATGTATATGTGGCTGGATCACCAAGCCAGCAAAGTGGATAACTACCCCAGGGCCCCAGGCTACATAATTTTATTAATTTTAGGACAATAATTTTTTGTGTTATACAATGTTCTGCTCATATTTATATATATTATATATATACTATACTATATTATGCATACTATATCCCTACAAAGCTGAGCTTTAAAAATTAAGTAATTAACACTTACAAAACGTGGGGCATTCCAGCATAGGCCAACTGGTTCAATTCTAGATGACTTGGGAAATGATGAACAAATTTTTTGCCCTACAACCCCTAGGCTTATGCAGCCATCTATATAGGGGTGCTATCAGAAAAAGATACATAGGTGCTGCTTAAAATGAGGAAAAACTAAGTTTCCAGAAGCAAAGATATTTATTCTTTGTGAATCGTTTTGAAAACTCCCAAAATTAAATCATCCATCTGTTTCAGTTTATCTCTGCAACATAATTATAGTCCAAAGAGGGCCATGATGTTCTTATTTCCCTCCACAGGGTAATAAAGTTTTAGGTTTTTAACTTTAACAGGAAAATACACTCATTTTTTCTTTTCCATTTTATTTTTGGAAATCCACACATTCTTAATTATCCGACTGGCAGTCATGTAACTGCTATTGCATAAGGATACATCCCTGTGTGTGTTTGTTATACAAAGGCTTATGGGGTTTGACATTCAGCATCTCCAACACAAGACTTTCCAGTAATTGCTGCTGGGTTGTTTGTCTCCACATGGGTAAATAACTTAGGAGCAGTGGTAAGATGGAAGACGATAGAAGTCACGCACATGCACAAGCTGAGCCATCAACTTGCCTCAGCTTGTCAGAGGCAAAAACAAACTACGCCTTCTCTACAAGGTGGCAGTTTGGTTTGCAGCACGGCTCAGTCCCTAAACCACAACTATAGTCTGACATATGCACACGCTCTCTCATATGCATGCAGATGTACATCCCCCTCCCTCACACACTCACTAGTCCACAGACACACAGTGTCAAGGAGTCAAAGTGCCAGATGTACAATAGAGTGTATAGCACAGCTGAGCTCACCACAGAGAGAGTGATAGTCGGACAGTTCCGGGTGTGAGGCTGCCTTTGTTCTTCAAGCTTCAAAAGACAGACTTTATTGCGTTCAAGATCGTTTTCCAAACTTGGGTGCCTTATTTGCGCGTGCTTGAAAGGGTTGTAAAAGTTGTGAATTCTCTGCACAAAGAGACGGGTGCACTTGCTGGATGTCCATTTACAAATTCCAGTTTTTAAAGTAGTGTAATACATAAAAGGTGTCAGGCTGGCTAAGGCAAATTATGCATTGATGAAAAAAGTTTACTCACCTATTTCTTTTCCTTCATTCACTAAACTGTGATTAATTCAAACTTAAGGAATTATCACATGTCAGTTTTCTCATCCTCATGTCTTTTGTTTTTTGGTGCAAACCTTTAATCAGTGCCTCCATTGACAGTTCACAGTTGTACAAGAATAGTAGCAATGACCTGTGGTTACCATTTCGGTATGTGTGTACAGCCGCACTGACATGCATCCAGCCGCCCCCCTCTCTGTGCACAGTGTGTAGTTTGTGCTAAAAATACAGCTGGCTTGAGGCTCAGCAGGACAGACACCTTTCCTTTTATCTATTTTGGTCACACATCAATGTATATTTTTCTTTCCGCTAAAGGCATCTTAAAGTTCTTTCTTCATACCTAGAGTCTTTAATATATATATATTTACACTGCACAGCAATGTCTTGAAAAAAAAAACTTATATAAAATACAATAATTCCTTACGAATTAAATCAGGGAATTATGAAACAATTTTTAAACCTGTTCTATGATAAACATTTGGTGTGAACTGATGGTTTGACCCAGTGAGAAGGTTTTATATGAGGTGATTTTTGTACTAATAACCATCAACAGCTCCATGTCTGTGGTAACAATCAAGTCTACAGCTGTAAAACGCACCACTCTCTCCCTCTCTGGTGTGTTGGCAGGTTGGAGGAGAAGGCTGGAGGAGCGTGCAGCCATGTGTCACATGCTGAGGCCCTGCGGCCCTCTCGGCACCTGTTTACACCCCCGGGGGACACGACCGGCCAAGACAGCTGGTTTGTTTTGGAGAAGTGTAGGGCGAGACAGGGCGGATATGGGGGTGCAGGATGGGGGATGGGATTACAGATGGGCCGCAGTAGATGGGGGGTAGGACAGGGTGTAGGGTGGGCTGGGGTGGGGTGGGGGGACTATGGGGGCTTCTGTGAGAAGAATTACTGAGCACAAAAGGCACGTCAGCAAGACTGAATGGGCAGTGACCACGTACAATCCGATGGATGATAATGACATTGTGCTGGCTTCAACCTCAGGGGACTTGATCCAGTGTGTGTGTGTGTGTGTGTGTGTGTGTGTGGGTGTGTGTGATGTCAGCTGGTGTCCCACTGGAGTAGAAGCAGAAAGATTAAACTGTGGGTTTCTGGTTAGATGTGATAAGATAAGAACACAGATGACCAATGTTTGGCCAATTTTAAAAGAAAATTACACTTAATCAACACAACAGTTTAAAACTTATCTTCAACATAAATATTTTATATTTAAATATTTTATAGATCCACATGTTTAATTTTAAGTACCTTCAAAATTAGATCAAAATATTTCCACTGTTTGCCAACATCACATATAACTGTGTGTGTGTGTGTGTGTGTGTGTGTGTGTGTGTGTGTGTGTGTGTGCATATAGCTACTTTTATTGCACAAAATAAAGAAATTTTATGTTATATTAGATTCAAAACAGGTATGTGTTTTGTACATTATTTTTTACATGTTTCCAGGTAATTTCCACAAAGTAAGTACACTATTCAGTGGCTTTGAAAAGTTATAAAAGCTTTGAAGTTCTTTATTTTTTAGCAATTGTAGAAATATTAAGATCCTAAAAGTATGGAAGTACTATCAGCAAAATCAAAAGTACTCATTACACAACAGACAGACTCCTGTCAGATATTATTGGACTGATATTACTAATGTTTATGCAGTATTTTATTTTATATACTGTTTGGTTTTTTGTCTGCAACAATGCATCATATTTTACAATTTTATCAAATGTTTTGTGTGAAGAAAGAAAATAGGCAATCTGTAAAGTGACTACCAACAATAGCTAATAAATACATTCAGTGGAGTAAGAAGTGTAATATTTCACTTGGAAATGTCGTACAGTAGAAATATAAAGTACATAAAATTTAAGAAGAAAAATATGTAAAACTTGTCATTTATTGAACCATAAAGTGTTGGAGGGCTTGTCACAAGTTTCCCTTTTGTGTTTTAGCAACATATTTACATAAAAAAGAAATATTTGTCAAAATCATGTTTCACGTAAACAGTGTGCATGTGATGGTTTGAGTATGTTTGATGTACATTTGTGAAATACAAACGTGGCTTATTATAGGTTGTGCATTAGGAGTACAAAGCTCTGGGCAAACGACTGAGAACCATATAAAAGTGTTTTCACCGATCTCCTTGGCAATAACGTGACACTGAGTTTTCTCTCTGAGAAAGTCATCAATCGCTCAACAGCTCCTGACAGATCCAGTGACTGGTAGAGCACATGTTGTACTGGAGGCTCAACATCATAACTGTCACACACACACACACACACACACACACACACACACACACACACACACACACACACACACACACACACACACACACATCTCCACATGCAGCTGGGCCCTCCTTTCTCACTTCAGTATTCTCTAAATGACACTTTGCCTTCCCTTATCTTTGTTTCACTTTTGTCTGCACTCTCTTCACGAACTTGTTTCACATCTGTATACAGATTTACTTCTGTAAATGTGTATTTACACGTGACCATTGTTTCCATCAGTTAATCCACTTCAGCAGAGGAAACAATTCTCGTTTCATAAGTCCTCAGTGACAAATCTTTTGAACCTTCAGGCTGTTGCACAACTCGCTGTGCTGTGAATAACAGGAAGACAGCTATTTTTCCTCTCACTTTAATTTGCCTGTCACTCAGCAAACTCCTCAGTGGCAACCTGCATAAATACACACCACATGTAAAGGTAGGCTTTTTTTAAAATGACATCACACATACATATAGGGCTTTGGCTATAAGAACTTCAGAGAATAGTTTACTTAATTTAGTTTACTTGTATGGAGACAGTTTTACATGATGGATTAGGGAGCAGCTGGTTGGTTAGCCTTGTGTTACTTTTCTTACTGCTAAATGAAAAATAAGGATTTTGTTTGTCAGTTGAGCATAATTAAAAATATAGGGCTGTATTTCTGATGTGCATCAATAGTACTGATGTAAACAGCATTACAAACCATAACCATAACATAATAACTTGGAATTAGTTGTTACTGAGTGTTAGTCCTTGTCCTATTGAGGAGGGTTGACTGCGTGTTCCAAACTAGAATTTATCATTTTAATGTTGGCTGCTGGATATTACCCACCTATATTATAGTAACTGGTTTGAACAAGTGGACAAGTCAGCAAAGTGGGAGGAATAAAGCCTCCCATGTGCTTGGACGAGTGCATTAAAGTGAGGTGTCATTTTTGTTGCGCTCTCTGCTCAGTGCAGCACACTGACACGTGTTCATCTGCAGAAGGTTTGCTCACCCTCGCTAGCAGTTCTGTGTTTGAAATGTTTGACGTGTCAGAGAAGCCACAGTGGACTCAAAGGATGCTTCCAGCTGTAAAAGGGGGCAGCATAGAGA